TTAAATAATGCACCGAAGAACAGAAATTAATAGCATGCAAAAAGCAGACAATTTCTTTTAACAATCACAATTTTTCTGGCTTTATAACTATGTGACAAGAACTGTTACAAATGTATCCAAGCTGGCCAATGTGATTCCCATGGGAACCAAAGTTGTATTACAAGTGAAATTGATTATTCTGGAACACAACGTAATAGAATACGTCATTTGATAAATGAAAACCTTGACTTTCTACTGGTTATAAGTAATATATAATTAAACGTAAGAGAGAACTATTAACAAATCTTGAAAAAGAGGATGTGACAGGTGGCTGTGGCAAAAGAGGTCTGATTTTCTATTTGATAGCTCTGTAACCAAGCAAAATTTAAGGCTATAAAAATTATGGTTAGTCTGAGTAATGGCAATTTTATAGTGAGTAATTTACATTTAACACGTTCGCGGTGTACGTATTTTATCTAATTATGCAATAGAAAAGTAAGGCCTCATTGTGAACTCTGCCTTAGATACAGCTAATATTATGGCTTCATGTTTTATGACAGAATAATTGCATTGGGAACTTTCTCTTCAGTGCACTACCAGTGGTACATAATGTCTTGTCTTTATCAATTTAAGCTTTGGCTGTCTTGTGCCACAGGTGGTGCACACTATGATTTAAGTAATAATAATCAAATGATCATAATATCTAATATTTTTTCAGCCTAATCTTGCCATTTTTTTTAGAAGAATTATGAATATTTCACAATTTTATGGCCTAAAAAAGGGACATCATATAAAATAATCCCTACTATGGATAATAATAGTTCTATCCTTATTATATTACACAACAGTTTTCATATTTATGAAAGAAGTCTCGATTAGTGTTTTATTTGCTTCAATTACTCACAATGACAAATTTAATGCCAATCTCTAAATGTAATTTTAAAATAAAGTGATTTAATCACATAAATTTGTTTTAATTCAGTTGTCCTTTCAACATGGCATTCATGCTCCATCAGTGGTACATGATGGAAGGCGTGGCTTTATTATAGCCATCCGTACATAATAATAAATGCTTCATATAGGACTTTGGAGATATGATGTAGAGTTATATCTTATGGGTGTTGTATACCATGGGTGGCACATGATGTTGTAGTTTCTGGAGGTGGGGTGGATAAAACAGAGATGAGAAGATACCTAGAGAAAAATGTGTCACACTAAGGGAATTTCAGGATTCTAAAAAATATTGCCTTATAAAATCAAGAACTTAAAATCTCTATACTATTAAAATATGGATTATTAGCTAAGATTTTATACTATACTAATTGGTATAACATAAGTGAAAAGTAGTTTAATAAAATTCTGAATTTAAGACACAAAAACCTTGTGTCATGCACAGTAAAGGATACCTGGGCAAGAGGGTTAAACATTTCTTTCTAGAATATAAAAGTATTTATTTGCAACCACCAAGAATTTAGTCAATCACCATTGAGATTGGAGAGATACACGAAATATTCCTTAGAAATTCAATACTAAACTTTAGACACTAAACTCTGAAACAAAAAACAGAACTTACAAGTGTACTACTAGACTTAACTCTGTAATAAAAAACAGAACTTATAAGTGTACTACTAGACTAAACTTTGTAATAAAAAACAGAACTTCCAAGTGTACTACTAGACTAAACTTTGTAATAAAAAACAGAACTTACAAGTGTACTACTTCATTAAACCCTGAAATAAAAAACAGAACTTACAAGTGTACTCACGAAAAAGAGCTATACACTTCTTCTGGGAGAATCCTTGTTCTGGAACTTCACCATTCTTTGTACGTCGTGTACTGAAAGATAAAATAACTAGAATTTGATCATGAAACAATTTGACAGAAGTGCATATAATTTCTTGAAGAAATAAATAAAAAAACACAACCAACATTAAAATAAAATAAAATCAGAATGAAATTCAACCACTTGGAGACAAGACGTAGGCGGCCTGTGCTCCATCAGTACCTTTAGAGATGGGAGGCAGAGTCTATTAATAAGTTAGTTTATTTGAAGTAATTATTTCAAATTACAATATCAAATACGTAAGACAATAAATAAAAAAGTAAACATTCTCTGTTTATTTCTTTTGAAGTTTCTCAAGTAGGCCTACCCTTCTCTGAAGAAACATGATTGATATCAAAGACTATAGAAAGATTAATGTAAAATATTAAAGTTAATGTAACTTCACAAAAATTATTGCAGGAGGAAGGTTATTAAAACACGAGATAAAAACACATTGCAACACTATCATTTACTTTTAAAATGTATTAAATGTCTTAATTTAAGTGAGTCACAAGTGCTTATTAAATAATCTAAAGTGATCTAAAATTAATATCTATAAAACAGGAAAATAAATAAACATTTTAAACACACATGAAAGTCCAAAGAAAAGTAAAGCAAAAGAGAAACTGCAAGAGTGTAGCAAAATCTTAAAAATATATTTTAATCTTACCTGGAATGCATTTTTGGAAACTTGTAAACACCACTGTGTTTACCTTCTTCTACAAAATGTGGACGTACTTTACGCTTGGGAGGCATGATCTTCTAACTTTTCTCTCCTGCTGGAAATATACTGAAGAGGTAATTGTTTTCAATTCTGAAAGATATTAAAGATTTAATGTACCTACAACTAGCTTCTGTGTGTCTTGTATATGTAAGTTAAGCCATTATTTCATTAATTTAAATTCACTAAAAATATTAATTAAAATAATAAATATGCAACATTAAAATCATTTCAAAATAATGACTACGTGTTCAACGTGTCACATGTCATCTTTAGGAGTGAAGTTGCAAGAAATATATTTTAAATTATATATTTTCTTAAATATTACATGACCTGTCCGTAACTTTGCATCTGTGCATAAATATCAGAATAGGTCTTGCCATATTCTTAGACAGATATTCACCTGTCATTATTCTCCAGTTGCTGCAATACCTTTAGGTTGAGCTAATACAATGGTTTTTATCCATAATATGTTATGTTGGGTTTTACTTACAGGTCATTTGATATTTAAGAAAATATAAAACTTATCTTTTGCATCTTCACTCCTGAATATGACGAGTGACACGTCAAAACATGTAGTGATTATTTTGACATGATTTTGTGTATTAAATTTAACATTGTATATTTATTATTTTAACATTATACACAAGTGCCGATATAAATATATATATATATATTTTAGTTAAAATGTTTAATACATATATTTATCAACAGGATTATTGTGTTTTAGCTTAGTATATGTAAAATAGCAATAAAAATTAATGTAAAGTAACAGTAACAACAAGAAATATCAATAAAATTGACATTGAAGTAACAATAATAGCCATGGGTAAAAAAGTAACACTATAAATTACATGTAATGTAGCAATAACAACCATTGGTAAAATAACACTAAAAGTTACATGTAAAGTAACAGTAATAAACAATTTTTCAAATACTGCTCTACAACTGACACTTGAGTTACTAAACAAACAAGCTTTCAAATATTGTTCTACAACTGACACTTGAGTTACTAAACAAACAATCTTTCAAATATTGCTCTACAAATGACACTTGAGTTACTAAACAAACAATCTTTCAAATATTGTTCTACAACTGACACTTGAGTTACTAAACAAACAATCTTTCAAATATAGCTCTACAACTGACACTTGAGTTACTAAACAAACAATCTTTCAAATATAGCTCTA